TTGTTTTTTTGTGGGGTTTTTTTTCTTCTCAAATAGGAAAAGCCTAGAAGAACATCCCCTGAAAACATTAAGGGTTAGATCTGAGTAGCAATTTTTATTCTTGATGCAGTTGTTTGGTAGTGTCCCCCCATATTTCCAAAACAGTTTTCTATAGTATAGATTCTTTTTGTAATAGAAATAAATTTGCTTTAAAGAATAACAAATCCACAATCGAGTGGCCATCGAGTTGACACCGAGGCCTTAGAGACCCTTCAGGACAGGGTGGAAACTGCCTCATAGGGTTTTCAAGACTGCAAAGATTCGTCCCACATCTTGTTCCCATGGAGAGGCTGGTGAGCTTGAACCACTGACCACCAGGTTAGCAGCTAAGCCCTTAACTATTATAGCACCAAGGAATCTTGCTTTAAAGAAACCACCACCAGTTATTTACCCATTCCCTGTTTTCAAAGCGTCCCTGCTGGCTCCTTTGGAACACAGTCAGTGTTAGCCAAGGTCTTCTGATTTCCTGCCCAGGGACCCTGGGAGATGCTGGGGGCAGTGGGCCCCGGTGTGGAGTCCCCATAAAACAATTGTAGATTGGGCTCTTTGCGGGGGGGGGGGTGTCAGCTCAGTATAGTCGGGAGAAATTTGTTAAAGGAATAGCCAGAGAGGTGTATGCAGCACACCCTACAGAGTGTCTGCCCTAGACATTGCATGCAGCAGGCATTGCCCCCCTCTACCCCCAAAACCTGCCCATCGGGCACACAGCAAGCATCAGGATATCACTGCCCCAGGCCAGGGTGCCCCAAATGCCTGGGGGCGAGTCCAGCTCGCCACTAGCAAGGCAGTGCTCTGCCTGCTCCTGCCCTCCTCACCCCCTGTATGGGACCTGCACCATCCAGGGGGTAGGATTCCACCTGCAGCCCCAGCCGGACGGTTCAGAGACTTGGTGCTGCTGCCCTGTGTTCACCGAGCAAAGAGAAAGCTGATCATTTTATAGACAGTGGGTTCTTGCAAATAGCATCGGGGTTTTTGTGGTTTTTGTTGTTTTGTACGGGTTGAGTTTGTGGTTGGTTTTGTTTTTCAACAGAGAGCAGAGTACACAAGAGCTCCGCTACAGGGACAGTACATTTCTTTCATTCACACCCGCTGGGTAATGATGGACTCTGATAGAAAAGAAGTCTGAACTGTGGGTCTTGGGAAAGTGTGAGAGCTGCATTGCACGTGGATTACTCGCCCACTGTGTTCTCCTGGACCTCTGTGGACCCCATAGAGCGCCTTCATGCTGTTCCTCATTCTTTAAGGGAGAAAGTCTTGGTGGTGACTGTGCGAGAAGCAAAATTGAGTAAGTGGCTCTGCTGCTAGCAGCAGATACAATTATGGTGTGCTTTCTAAGAGAATGTGAGCTTGTGCACCTCAAATAAACAGTTTGCAGAGGGGTTGAGTTACTTGAATAGCATGAGTTTGCTGGCGAAGCCCAGTCCTAGGCTCCAGAGGCCGGCAGCCCCCGTTCTGACTCTGGCTCTGTCTTTGGGAAAAGCTTTCTGAATCTGTTTCCTTGCTTGGAGGTTTATTAGTAGCACCGTTATAGGTCTCATGTGAGAACTCAGCCTGAACCCTCTCTCCGTAAGTACCATGTAAGAGCCGGTGAAGGGTAGGCCACGTCTGAATCCTCTTTGGCAACGCAAACGTGGCAGTTCTGCGAACCCCACATTGCACGTGTATGTAGGTCTAGCCCCTGCAAAGATATAAGCCAATAAATCTGTTAAAGCAAATACTCATCACATAGATCGTGTACCAAACCGAATGACTAGCTACTGAGTCAATTCTGGCGCATGGCAGCCTCATGTTTTTAAGACTAGAACTTAGGAGTTGGATAGTAATGAAATAATTCTGGGGCAAAAGCGTAGGAGATGAAGGGTAAAGTTAAAGCCATAGAGTGTCTTCCAGTTTCAGCTGGACCTTGTCAAGCTGTTAGAGCACAGTGTGAGCACATACAAGATTAAAAATAAACAAAGAGCCAAAGGTAGTCAACCTAAGTAGTATGTCATGGACGAGGGCTTCTGGGACACCACAAGCAGCTAATTGGAGTGGGAACTCCCAACATCATCCCACTGGTGCAAACACCACTCACCTGCTTTGCATAAAGCATGCCCCAGGAGGGGGAAGACTGGCCACTCAAGCTCGTGCCCAGTGTCCCAATGTCCCCTCCATCACACCCCTTTCCTTTTGGAGTGGAACCCAGTCCCTTCTTTGGAATGTACTCACTCTTTCTCTAATAAATTACCTCTACTTTCACCTCCACTCTCTTTTCCACATCTTCTTTCTCTGCAAGCTGGAAGTCCCTAAACTTGGCAGCCATTAAAGTCTCTGAGGCGGTAGCGCTGAGTAGCAACTTTGTTAAAAGCCTCTGAAATTACTGTCCACCCTCTGGCACCTCTGACCCTCCTTGTGGTCTCCCACACTGCTCAATTCTTTGTCTGGATGAAGGCTGAGGCTGGGGCACTCCCTGCATGCTAAGAGAGCTGTTCTGCGTGGACTTGCCAGTGACTATCGTTTTATAGAAGTAGATTGGCACCACTGAATGCATTAGAACTGCCCAACTTTTAGATTATCAGTGGAAGGAAAAATAATTTGTCCTACTCGGAGACCTCAGATATACTACAACAAACTAAATGACGTTAATGACACCAAACTAGTGGCAGATGCTTATGAAGCCGAGGAAGCAGGGATTATAGCTCTACTCCTGTGTTGTCTGTGCCAGGTTCCCCGCTGGAGTGGTACTTGGAGGGATAGGACTCATAAGGCAATCAAGCCTCATAGGACTCTGGATTCTCGCTTTCAAGAACCATATTGAAGAGCTCATTCTAGCTTATGAAGACTTTGTTAACCTTTGCTAACACACTCGGCAAGTTTACTCCTAAGGCTCTGAGAACATTTCACTGCTTGTTGCTTGTCTGTGCGTCTCTGCCCAGCCCGCCCACATGGCACCTCTTTCTTCAGGAGGACACTGCCTATACCCGGGCACATGGTTTGAAGAGCGAAGGATGGATTGGATGTCAGGCTCCACTTGCCCCTTGACCAAGCGCCCTTGCACAGCGTGCAATCCGTGGACACTCAAGGGTCACTGCATGTGGCACAGCGCTGCCCCCCGTGGTCGTGGGTGGGAGTGCACCTGCTGCATCCCGCTCAGCACTTAGGCCCCTGGCAGCCGCCTGAGGAGCATTCAGGCTGCTGGTTAAGGGACCGACTGTGGGTCTCTGCTTGGTTCCCCTAGGTATGACCCAGAGAGGCCAAATCCAGAACTAAACCTGTCGCCATCAAGCCTATTCCTACTGATGGCAACCCTAGCCATGTGGTACAGAGTAGAACTGCTCCATTGCATCTTCGTGACTGTAATCTTCCTGGATGTTTATCAGGCCTTTCTTCTGAGGTACTTGAAGTACTGGAGATGGAGAACCCTTCTCTGGGATCCTCAGGAGCCTGCTCAAGATCTAACATCCAGGCCCTGCTTTGCTATCCCTCGGCCAAAATTGACCACCTTGCATTTCCAGGACCCTGCCCCCTGCCACAAACCCCAGATGGCTTACCCTTGCTCTTAGAATCAAGACCAAGTCCTTATTTATCATAAGCACCCTGCCAGCACCTCCCTGAAGGCCTCTCCTGGCTCCTCACCTCACACCCCACTCCTGCACTGGTCCTGCACCTCTCCATGCTGCCCCACTTCTGCCTCTTTCCTGAGCAGTTCACTCTCCTTCTCTGGAAGCCCCCCCCCAAGGCAATGGCCTCGTCTGAGGAGTCCTGTCAGCTGTGGCAGGTGCCTTATGTCAATGCCCTTTGCATTGCATCTAATACTGCCATTCTCTGGGCTCTGAATGTTCCCCCACACACCTTCCCTTGAGCCCAGAGAGCCTTTCTTTATTCCTAGTCCTTCCTTCCCTAACCCTCAAACCCTCTGTGGGCAGAGGGGGAAGGGGAGGAGGCGGCTGGGCCTGGGAGGAAAATTTTCATCTGGTGGCCACAAGGCTGGGGCTCCCCCAGTTTGGATCCAGCAGTGGTTCTGAGGGAGAAGGATGGGTGGTCTTCTCTCATTATGACTTACATCCTCAGAAACCTGATGGGGGAGCGGTAACTGTGAGTTGTAACTGACTAGATGGCACCCAGTGATGAGCCCAAAGGCCAGATGAGATGAGGTGGGGAGATAGGGACCTCTGGAATCTTCCTGGTCCTTCTTATTGGCACAGAAGTCTTGGCAGCTCATTTGCAGAAACAGCCCCAAATCTGCTTGATTAAGGTGGGCGGAGCAGAAGAGCAGCCTCCTGGGAGGACAGGGACTCTGCTTGCCTGGCTGGGAGCCCCAGGGTTAGGGGTGTGTGTGGCAAGGTTCTCAAATGTGTATTGGATGAGGAAAAGGGGGAGAAGGAAAGAAGGGAGAGGAGAGAGGAGAGATACAGGAAGGTGGAAGGGGGGGAAGGAGGAGGGAAGAGGGTGAAGGGAAGAAGGGAGGCGAGAGGAGGGAGGAAAGAGGATAGAAGAGGGTGAGGGGAGGAGGGAGGAAGGAGGAAGGGAAAGCTATTTGAAGGAATCTGCACCCACTTCCCAAGGGTTGGGGGGGGGGAGAGAGGCACTGGAGTGGCAACAAAAACTAGCACTTATTGATGGCTAACTTTGTGCCAGGGGCTCTCTAAACTCTTTACACCTATTAACTCAATTCTCACAATAACCCATTAATGTAGGTACTATTTAACAGCACTCTTGACAGATAAGGAAACTGAGGCAGAGAGCCTGAATAACTTGCCTAAACTCTTATTGCTAGTAGGGGGTTGGGGTCAGCTTCAAACCCAGATGTCCTGATTCCAGAGGCTTCTCCCTTAACGAACTCTTTGGAGCTGCCCCTCCCCACCCCCTGCACTGGGGAGGGGGAATGTGCACCATGGGTCAGCTGGGAGTGGGGGTGGGGGGAATGTTGGACAGGCCTTGCACTGCCAGCTGCTCCTGGCTGGGTCCTAAGGGCCACCTGCTCAGTCAGCAAAGGCAACTTCCTCTGGCCAGATGCCATTTGGAGCCGGGGTGCCTGGAGGTGAACCCACCCGGCCTTCCTGCAGACTGCCCTCCTTGGACCTGCCCTTCAGGATCACAGGCCTTCTGTGCCACCAGAAACATGGCCACAGGGTCCCAGGGGACAGGCTAGATAAGCAAGAGGCAGTGATGCTAGTATACGGCCCTGCAAGAGCTGGCATCCCCCTGCTTTGCGTGGTAGAGAGGGCAAGCAGCCGGCAAACCAATGTAGGAGGAGTTTTCGGTGCTTTTTCATTTTAAAAGACTTCCTTTGATATTCAGGACTTGATTTTATAAAGCAGACTAAAGAAGGATGTGAATAAGGTTTATTAATATTATTGTTAAAAAAAGTGGGGAGGAGGAGTATATGGCTGTGTGGGCCGGTGTTTACAAGCTTGGGCTTCTGCATTCCAGAGACCTGGTTTGAATACTGGGCTTTGCCTCTTCCTGCCTGTGTGTCTCTGGACAACTTAACCACCCTCTCTTGTGTTACATTCATTTTTTCGGCTGACAGCAACCTTATCCCCTTCCTCTGGTTGAGGGAAGAACTCCCCCCTCCCTTGATGGTTGGGACGCGGACGCGCTGAACACCAGAGTGTGGGCATGTAGTTGAGGGCCTGAGGGAGGCCAGCTAGAGGCAGTTCTGCTAGGGAGGCTGGTGCCAGGGCTGCGTCCAAGTCTGTGGTGTGTCTGCAGCAGCTCTCTGGCCCACCCTGGTTGTTCTTGGTTTTCCAGCATCTGCTGTGTTCTTCCAACATGTGTCTGGGGGTCTTAAGATCCTTCTAATAATCTGCTTCAATCACCCAGCTTGATCTTTGGACACTTGCAGCTAAGATCCTTGATCAAAATTCTTTTGGAATGTCTGTGTTCTGAGCTATAAAATGGGTACATTTATAAAGATCTTTACTGGGTCATATGGAAGACCTTGTGAAAAAGGAGTGCAGAGTCTCAGCACATTGTTAGCAAGAAATAGACCCAAAACTTTAGAACAACAACCATAACCAGTTGCTGTTGGGTCATTCTCATTCACATCAGCCCAACATGTCTCAGAGCAGAGCTCCATCCAGGAGACTATCCATGGCTGATTTTTCAGTAGCTCACCTTTCTGGGGTGTGTGTGTGTGTGTGTGTGTGTGTGTGTGTGTGTGTGTGTGTGTAAAATCAGGCCTTTCTTCTGAGATGTCTCTGAGGTGGACTTGAACCACCAACCTTTCTGTAAGTAGCCAAGCATATTAATCATTTGTACTATCTAGGGACACCAAAATGCTTACTTAGCTCAAGGATTCAAATGCTGCTGGGGAGGGTGGTGGGGCGGTCTGTGAACGGGTTTATTTTATGGAAAAATACTAGATATACTTAGACATATCTGTACATATACACTAGAAATATAGGCAAATATTTCAGATAATATTAATAGTTATTAGCTCTGGATGGAGACTAGTGGATTATTTTAATTTAAAAATATTATTATTTTGCTTTTCTCTAGTTCTAATCTTCCTGCAGTTGTGATTTGTGTTTTAAAAGGAAAAATAAATAAAGCAAGCTCTTCTCTTCCCTGGACCTTTCCCCTTAACTCTTCTGGCCCAAGATGAGTGAGGGGGAGTTTGGCGGTCCCTCAGTCCCTCAGGGTGGGGGTGGGGGACTGGCTCACAATGGGATAGAGGCAATAGGGTGAGCCCCTCTCAGCCCTGCTCACCCAGACCTGCCTGGGGATGCGAAAGGCTGTTCCCCAGTCCCCCATAAATGCTTCAGAACTATAATGCATGGCAGCCATCGCAGAAAATGCCAATGCAGCAGAACTTGCTTATTTAGAGGGGCCAGGGTGGGGGCATGGCTGCTGTGAGGGGCGTATGGGGAGGCCTTTCCCCTGACAGCCAGGGCCATTTGGATGAAGCCGGGCTCCCCAGGGTTCCTGTTGACAGACTCCACTGCAGGGGCAAGGGGGGCAGGAGCAGGCAGGGTGCTGGCGGAGGGCAGGGGTGGGAGGAGCTGCAGACCCATCCTTGGGGGATGTCTGCCCCCTGTGCCCAGGCTGCCTGGCCTGGAGCTTAACACTGAACTTCCCTGGGTTCTGTCTAGGTCTCTGCTAGGGCAAGTCACTCCTCCTTCAATCAAGCCTCCACCTTCCAGCCTATAAATGGCAAGAACAATGCTTTTCTCCTAAAGCCAAGAGTGGGGAACCTGGGGAAATTTGACCCCCATTTTTGCGGTATCTGGAGACCTTTGGGGTTGTCACCCCTTGGCCAAGGGAGGCTTGCTACTGGCATCTAGTGGGTAGAGGCTAGGAACATCATTAACTGTTCTGCAGTGGTCCCCACAGCAAGGAAGCCTCCAGGCTCCACTATCAGTGACCCCAAGGCTGACAACACCCATCTTAGAGTGAAGGGTAGATTGAAAACAACCTTGGGTAGGCATAGCTGGGACTCATCAACCACAGTGTCATCCGAGCTGTAAAATGGGAACGTTTCCCCTTCGCCTCTCAGAATCAGGCCTCAGAGCACGAGCTCTCGGGACCAAGGATGCTGGACTGTGAGCTCTGCCTCGCTAACCTTACTTTCTCCTTCTCAGTGCTACTCAGATGTCAGAGTTTTCCAAATGGCCACTGGCCACTTTCGTGCCACCCTCTGGGCTGAGGTCAGGGCCTGAGCTGTGTCCCTAGGGCCCGGGACTGTCACTCTGATTTACAGTGCGCTCCTCCTCCCTGGCCCTCGCTCCTCCAAGAGCAGTCCCGGGGAAGCTGACACAGCACAGGCCAGTGAGAAAGGTCAGGGAGGACAAATCGGGCACCCACTGAAGCCCTATCCTCCTCCTACGTCTTCTATAGAAGCCCCCACCCCGGGATGCCAAGGGGAGTGGCGGGGGTGGGATGTGGACTGGTGAAGCCCTGTCTTCACCCAGGGACCATGGTGTGAACGCATGGTGTGAACGAACAACCCCCTTATTTGTCTTTTTTGTCCTTATTTTTATGCTTTCTTTTTCATCTGTTTACTGTTTGCCAGCGAGTCTGTTAGGACTCACAGTGCATGACACGGCACCTCCTAGGATTTCCTAGGCTGGAGTCTTGATGGGAACCGATTGCCAGGTCTTTTCTTCTGTGGAGACACTGGTGCATGCAGACCACTCAACTTTGTTTTAGCAGAGGAGTGCTTAGCCGCTGCACCACCAGACCTCCTGTCGGGTGCCATGGTCAGCAGGGAGTTTTGCTGCTAATTCAAAAGTGCAGCGTCTCTGGTAGTTCAAACCCATCTCCTTGGGAGAGAGATGAGCAATCTCCTCCTGTGATTTACAGCTTGGACCCCCCCATGGAGGACCGGCTAGGATGGGGATGAAGATGAACCACTTATTACGGTCTCTCTCTCTCTTATTAGAGAGGTCTGGTGGCTTAATGTTCAGGAGTTTTCCTGCCAACCCAAAGGCAGGTGGTTCTTGTCCACCAGTCGCTCAGTGGGAGAACGGACAATTTGCCGCCTTTGAAAACCTACTGGGTGGGGGGGGTGTCTTTTCTGACTGGACAGCATATAACAACAACAACAATAACAACATACTTTGAAGTGTTTTGATGATGAGAGGAGCGATGGCTGCTGTTGACAAACTGAGGCCAATGTCTGTGCTTCTCTAGCAGTGGGATGAAGTGAGCCTGCCCTCAGCTCTGGTCACTTTAAGGTCTTGATCTGGAAAGGGTGGCATGGTCTGTACAGAGATGCATTACTAACCCAAAGGCTGTTTATCTCTGGTGGTTCAAATCCACCAATGATTGATTCCTCGGAGAAAGATGGGCAGTCTCTTTCTGCGCAATTTACAGCCTCAGAAACCGAACGGAGGGTCAGCAACGAGTTGGGTCTTTCTCAACAGCAACGAGAGAGAGGGTGGAGGGGGTTCCTGGAAAGAAGTGGTTCCAGGCAGCGAGGTCCCGGGCTCCTTACCCTGCAGGACAGATGCTCTGGACAAAGAGGGAAACAGTTCTAGTCCCTCTGGGCCTCAGTGGACACAAAGGGCTTTACAGTTGGGTGGACTCAATTAGGTATTGTTAAGTTTGACAACTCAGATGATAGTGATTTAACTACATCAAGGTTTATTTTCCCTCCACATACCTCTGGGAGCTCTGGTGGCCCATTGATAAGAAACTGCACTGCAATCCTGAAAGCATGCAGTTCAAATCCAGTAGTTACTCCAAGGGAGAAGGATGGGCAGTCTCCTCCTGTGTGATTACCTGCTTCTGAAAACCCTCCAGAGGGTCGGCTATGGGTCAGTTTTTTTTTTTTTTATGGGTCAGTTTTGACTCAATGGTACATAACAGCAAACAACAACATAATTGTGGAGGTCACCAACCAGGGCTGATGCCCCTGGCTCTCTCTGGACATCAGAGAAACAACTACTTTCCCAGCTCCATCATTCCTGAGGTGATCCCCTTCCCTTAAAAAAAAAAAATAATGAAGCTTTGGGGAGGGCAGGAGAAGAGGCTTTCAAGGAACTTTTTGAAAGCACCACCATCACTCAGTTTATTTTTGGCCAGATCTGTGTAACAAGGCCACCACATCCATAAGGATGCCTAGAAATGTCTTTTACTTTAGCTACTAGTGTCATTGATGCACTATCTCCACACTTTTTCAATCCAAATGCAGAACAGATTATTTGGGAGGCTGGGCTTTATGAGGAGAAATATGACATCAGGATTGGAGGAAAACTCATCAATAACCTGTGTCATGTAGATGACACAACCCTGCTGGCTTAAACTGAGGAGGACCTGAGCACTTGCTGCAGAAGGTCAAGGACTGTAATCTTCATATGGATTAAAGCTCAACATTAGGAAGACAAGGGATTCTCACCACTGGGCCAATTGGCAGCATCATGATGGACGGAGAAGACTGAGGTTGTTAACAGTTACAATTAATACTGTTGGCACCAGCAGTCAGAAAATCAGAAGATTAATTGCATTAGGTAAATCCACTCTCAGCGACCTTTCCAGAATACTGAGAAGCAATGATGATGTCAGTTTAGAGACCAAGGTGTGCCTGATCCAGGCCATGGTCTTTGAAATTAATAGCTAAGCATCAAAGAGATGGGCAGTGACTAAAGATGACAGAATTGATGGGTTGGAGTTGTGGTGCTAGAGTAGAGTCTTGAACATACCACGGACTCTCAAGAAAACAAATAGGTCTATCTTGGAGAGGGTGAATCCAAGTTTCTCCTCGGAGGCTAGGATTTTGAAGCTCTCTCTCATATTTTGGGCATGTGGCCAGGAGGGACTGATTCTTGGAGGACATCCTCCTCTTGGAAGGGTGGAGGGATAGTGCAGGAGAGGAAGACCCTGGATGAGATGGATTGATACAGTACAGGAGCAATGGGGGTTGGTGTGTTGGAGTCAGTGAGACTGGCTTAGGACAGGGCAGGCTTTGGAGCTGTTGTACATAGAGTCACTGTAAGTCAACAGCACACAACAACTAGTTTATTGTTGATGTTGAGCATCCGCATATCAAAGCTGATCCTCTACCGAGTTTTCAGAGGAAATAAATACAAAAGGAAATTGCCCATCAGCTGGTGGATTTGAACAGCATGCCTTTCGGTTTTTAGAGGGTCAGCTATGAGCTGATGGGGGATCATCTGTAACTTGGTTCTGACTCAACAGCAATGAGTTTTAAGCTTGAAGTGGGATTCTGAATTTTTTTTTTATGTTTAAATCCACAGTGTATTTTGTTACTAACCAGAAAGCAATTCTGCTCAAGGGGTTCAAATCCACCAGTGTGGCTCCTTGGATGAAAAATGGACAATCCCCTTCCATTAAGATTTACAGCATCAGGTTAGGATGGAGATGAGAGAATCCAGGGGTCCTAACCCAGGGAGCACTTACTTTAGGGACTAGATGTGACCCCTGCATCCTGGTCACTACCAGGTTGGGAACTAAGAGAGGAAGCCAGTGAGGGGAAGACGCTAGACCAAGCCCGGGGTAGGCGCACCGAGAAGAGGGCTGCATGTTTTAATCACAGACATCCAAGCAGCAGAAATGGTGGCCCTAGTAGTGAAATTGTCAGTAAATATCCAGTCCTAATGCCTACCCTGATCACTCTCTGTGTTATTGTTATCCCCAAGGACACATTTTATAAAACTGTTTTAGCTTTGTTCTGGGGACTTGAGAATGGGACCACATCAAAACTGCCCATGAGGAAACAGCATATGCAGTTGGCAGGAACCAGTGCAAGAGGGTTAATAGCCCGCAGGAGCTGGAGGAATAAGTGGGGTTCTGTACACAATCCACAGGGGGGCTCCGAAGTAAATAGGGGGGAGTAAACAGTAGTCACTATAGGAGGTGTGCCCAAGGGCTGGAGACACAAGGGGGGCTTGGAATGATGCACAGTCCCACAAAGCGTAGGCTGAAGAATCTAATTCTTAAGAACTTCTAATTTCCCAGCTGTCTTTCCTACTTGATTGCCAGAAGAAAAAAGTGGAAAGGTGAAGATGACCTGATCTTTTTATTGTCCCCTCTTTGGGACAATGTACCTACCTTGGTAATCTCTGACCACCAGGGGGCACTGGGAGATGGCAGATGCAGAAGAAAGCCCAATGTGGTAGTTTGATATCTGACTTGAGGTTCTCGAGCCAGAAGGTGTGAGATAACACAGCCATCCTGGGTGGTCACCAAAACAGATTCATAGATCTGAGCATCGGATTCCACTTCCCCTAGGTCCCATCTCTGATTCACTTCCCTTAACAATGACAACCAAGTGTCAATGTCCAGCTTGGATGGGATTTTAAATTTTAGAACAGCTAAAACAAAGCACCATGGAACTCTGGATCTTCTTTTTAGGAAGTGGGTCACCTGCGGAGACAATCTTGCAGTTTCAATAAAGTTCTAACATGGGATGCTTGAGCCAAGCCTTGGGGCCGGGCAAGTCGCACTGGGAAGGAAGAAGGCTGCTTGTTTTAATCACATTCCACCAGGGGAAGCAGTGACCCTAGTAGGTTGTGAAATCGTTTCTTTAGGCCTATTTTGGCTCTTTAGGCTCCAGACCAGCAGGGTGTGCACCAACACAGAAAGAAAAGAGGCCCTGGAGGCAGCAGTGAATAGATCTTTTACTCTGTCAGATTATGTACCATCAACTGTCCCGTGGTCCCTCCTCATAGGAGACAGTTAATACAAACAAAAATAGTTCTCTACAAAACAAAGTTTCCAACCCTCCCAACCGCCTTCCTCCCTTCTTTCCAGACAGCGAGTTCCTTGGCCACCAAGCTTCACCTGGGGCCTGGGGTCTGGCGGGTTGCAAAGGAAAAGAAAAGAATATAAAAGAGAATCAAGTCAGCGACTAGAGTTGTAGGCAACTGGAGTTCCAGGTCCGCCGGCTGATGGGAAGCCAGGGCCAGGCGCAGGGGGCGAGCGCAACAGTCGAGTGTGTGTGTTGGGAAGGCAGGACCTGGGAGTGTTGGCGTGGGCAACATCGCTCCCCAACTGTCTCACTGCCAGCAACGAAATAAAGAGAAAAACGGAAATTAAAAAAGATATAGAGAAAGGGGTAGGGTAAGGTAATAGAAAAATGAAAATAAAAAAGTGTAGGCCTTGGGGGCCCGGGCTCCACAGCGTCCCCTGCTGCGGAGGAAGGGCAGTGCCGGGGTGGGGGCAGGTGCCACTGCGGAGGAGGAAGAGGCGAGGACTCTGCTGAGTAGCACCTGGGAGCAGCTCGGGCCGCACCCTTCTTGCTGCCCGGCCTCCCTCGGGCGCCAGCCCTCGCGGTCCCTGGGCCTCCGCGGCCGGGGCTCGTTCGGGCGGGCTCAGCAGCCCAGGCGGGCGGCCAGCCCCAGCAGCAGCAGGCA